TATGTACTGCTCTTTAAAGCCTCATTTTCTGCTCTTTGCTCAGGCTTCCAAAGTGCTTCCTTATGACCTTACTTATCTATGCCTTAATGACTGCAGACTTTCCAGGGCTGCTTTACTTTTTGTGGCTCTAAGTGACAGCAGAGATTTTCTTCCTTCTTTCCCTATTCTCCCTTGTATTGCTCTTCTCTGAAAAGGGCCTTGAAGAAAGGGTCTACCTCAATCCTAAGGCATCTGCATAGGGCTGAAACAAAATAGAAGACCCACACAGAGAAGAGTGGAATATTTTGCCTCCAGCATGAGAGCTGACACTTTATCAATGCAAAACTAGAAGGAGTTCCTTAACCTGCCAGTGCTACTTTGTTATCCCAGAGAAGGTCTACACAGCAAGTCAGGACACTTGAGGCTAATTAAGCACTATTAGCTAATGAATTGTTTATATAATTTTGTAACTCTGCGTTGTATTATTATTTCTTATTCATATTTTTATGATCTCTGTCTAGAGACAAACATGTCAGAAAGCAACCTATAAATAGATACCTGCAACCCAAAGTGATACAAGGTGGAAGAAAACTGCGGCTGACACAAACCTGACCGTCACTACAGGAGTGCCTCCCCAGGAGGAAAAGTGTCCCAGTCCCAGTACAGTATGATTTGTGCTTTTCTGACCCCCAGTTCAGGTGCAAGAATCTCCCCCATCAGGGGATAGCACAGCACTGCGCTATACTCAGTCAAACAGCACAGGCCCACTGAATGAGATGTGCTGGGTGCAGGTGTTGCTGGTGCAGAGAGGTGCAGGGTACACAACTTCTGGTGAGGGCTAAGACATCAGCAAAGCAGACACCCCATCAGATGCCTCAGCAGAAAGACTTCTGCGCAGTGCAGGATGTTGTTATTCATCTTTGTAGCATCTGAAGAGCCAACAAAACAAATATTAGTCACATGAAATTTTGCTTGCAGGCACACTGTAGTGTTTTGAACTTTTAATGATTTCTCCTTCTCTTTTCTCCTTTGTGTTTGATTTTATTGCTTCATGACTAGGAAATACTTTAATACTCCGCTTTTAATGTTCTTATATGCAGGTTTTATCTGGAGCATTATAAATCCCTAAATGTCTTAAGCACACTACCACTTGATAAGAGGCAAAATATGCTCAATGTGAAAGAAATACTGTTTTGAAAAAATTTATAATAAAAAGACACATCTGGGAGTAATAGAAGTTATCCATAAGCTAGACAGAGGCTGTTCTCTTCTGGCAAACTGCACAGCTGAGATGTATTGGTAGGAAAGTGTTTATCTTAAATGAACCTGCAAGTTCAGAGTCATCAGAGAACAAAAGAGCAGCAAGAACAGCATCTCCTCATGGAGACAAAAAGCTTGTTTGAAAAAAAAAAAAAAAGAAATATAGGTAAGGAAGAGAAAGGCATGTGGAGATTTGAAAACACAGAGAAGCATTTTTTTGCTGCATGCAGGAAAGGAAAGGAGCTGAGTGATATGTATAATACTTGAAGGCACAAATCTTATCCACTTTCAAAACACTAAACTTCTACTTCCCACTGTTACATATTTGGTCTGCAGTCAGGCAGGTGCAGGTGGCTGAGTCCTGTCCAGAAGCCAGTTCTCCAAACTGAACAGTCAGCTCCGGCTACTGGACAGTTTTTAAGTCTTTCTCTTGCATTTGCACTAACGTCCTGGGTTGAAATGGTGCTCATGAGCAGGTGCTCCCTGCCAGAGGGAGAGGCAGGAGAAACTCTTGATTTTTGCAACATCTATACTACCTATCAGAGCATGCCAGTGTGCTCACACCCAGCTACTGAGTACAAGTGCCAAGCGCACTGAAAAATGACCATGCTGTAGGGACAGGAAAATCAGAGGTTACACAGCCAGGCATGCAGTAGCAGTGGGATTTTGGTGTCAGCAGCTACAGTGTCAACCCTAAAGACAAGAATAAAACTCCACCAAATATAGCTAGTTGAAGACCCAGTCTGCACAGTGCTGATAGAGAACTTCTCTATCTTTCTAGATATTTTGTGTGGGTATTGTCACGCTTCCAAAAAGTAATTGGTGTCAATTTTAACATCTACTCTTGAGAGATCTCTGTGCTGTTTTCTCACGTCTCTGATCCACAAACCCCAGGATTCATTAACAGTGTGGTTTATTTGCAGGAAGAATAGGGAGAGTTTACTGTAGAGTCTGCTTAGTGCCAATAGTTACCAGGTTTTCATCTTCCGTAAGATACGTGTGCTATTCCCAATATCTTTTCTACTTCTAATTCCCCCTCTCTTTGTCTCTGCATGTCTCTCATGCTCTTCTGCATGTTATCTGGGGTTGTATTTTCAACTACCAATATCTCTTAAAAGGACTTTCGCCCACATGAAAAAAAGGTAATGCTAAAGCTTGCCTCAGTATTACTGTCTTACATTTTTTTCAGACTTCTAGTTTAACAAAAGAAACATACATAGAAAACTAAGATCTGGTGTTTCTCTGGAAAAATACAACATTATAATTAAATAAGGACAGCTGCATCTTTGTGCTGTACTTGGTTCTTAGGAAAATAATTAATTAATTAATTAATTAATTCTCCTAGTCAAAAGAATTTCTTCTATGGAAAAAAAAAACTGCATACCAATGAGATTGTGGTAAAGAACTTCAAATATATTGTATATGTTTGTGAGACACCTTGAGTGGTCAATTTTGGGCACTTTCAAGTTTTAAATATGTCGAAATAGTCTGTAAAATTTTCAGTGATACTAGAACATTCTTCCTCATGTAGTTTGGAGGCATAATTTATCACCTTTCCTTAGAGGAAGAAACAAAAGCTTGTATATAACCAGAACTTAATTTTGGATGTGATCAATCTGCAAATTTTGCAGTTCTTAGGAATAGCACTCTGGCAGCAGTATCTTTTATTTTGATGTCTGAAAAAAAATGTGCTGCAGAAACAGTTTAGGAAGCTGAGTCACAGCTGCACAAGGGTTTATAGACTGCTTTCAGAGTGCAAAGAAGCAATTTATGTGAACCCCAGAGAAATGTAGCAGTCGGTTTATGTTTGGAACCAGTTCCCAAAATAGACCCCTAATTTCATGACCAAATGAAAGCAAGCCTTACTGAGATCCATGTAGTATGTATGTGGTGATGACGGGTTCATGTTTAGTGTTGACTAACTGGCTGACTCCATCGTAAGCTTCAGAGGGATGGTTGTTTTAAATGATGTGACAACCAGTGGTGATGCTTAAAGAAAACAGCTGCAGTTAATTTTTTAATACCTTAGGGATGATTGCACAGTATTTTGGGCATCATGAGGTTCTAGTGGCTGCACAACAAGTAAAGAGCTTATTTTACCTCTGGGCCTTAGCTCCTCATTATTTGAGGCCCCTTACAGCTAATATGGTCAAAGGCATGCTCATTGTCATCCTGTTCAATTGGATTGGTACTCTGCCTTTCACAAGAATGAGGTGACTGGGATTTGCTCTGTATGCTAAAGAAGATGTGATTTCAACAGTCTTTGGCAGCTGCTAGTTTCATTAGCCCTAAAACCAGGAGGTAGGTGAGCAGTTGCAGCAGGAAACTCCTCGTCCGTTCACATTTCCCGCAGGAGATCAGCTCTGCTGACGAGAAGCAAAGTCAGGTATTGAGTGTGCAGCTTTGATTCTGAATGCACAAAGCCATCTTACAGAAAAATAGTTTGCACAGCCTTTGCTAATGTGTGCAACTCTACTCTTTTCACAAATTACCTATGGAAGTGGTAGCTCTCTTCCCATTGGTAGTATATTATGGATATAAATGTAGTAATATTTCAGAGATTGTAAACCTCTTCCATGACCTGGAGATTCACGTGTATTGAGTTCCAGTGGAACTGCAAGAGCAGAGTCATTAAGGCATTCTTGGACATTTCAGTGAGGGACCCCTTTCAGAAAACTAAATAGTCTAATCAAGGATATCCAATGATTCTGAGCGTCTGCAAATTACAATGTACTTACAATATCTGTATTTCCAGTTTTTAGGGTCGACTTTTCCATCTGCTTCTCAGTTTGCTTACTTATAACTGGTTAGGGTGTTTCACTTGTTTTTTTTAACAGAGATTGTTTGCTGATAGAAGCAGTAAGAGTCATAATTAAATTAAGTGTAAAACAGTACTATTGAATTATAATTTGGTGTTCTTGCCTAAAAGAGATTTCTGAAGGTTCCCATCAGAGTATGATGAAAGTAATTCAAATGGAGTTGGAGCAATTGCATCAATGTGAACAGGAGGAAGTCAGAATCAGCAATTTTACTGTAAGACACATAGGAACTTTCAGTAACAAAAGACACACAGGAAATTTTAACTTTGCTCTTCTCTTTGGAAAAGTAAAACCTGTTTTTAATCACAATTGCTGTTTAAAAAATTGTTATGTGACAGATTTGAGAATGTTTGTTATGAAAGACAATTTCTAGTGTTGAAGGTCTGATGAAAATGGAAATTTTTTTCAAGCTTAAGGTCATATTATTGTTGTTTGTAGCCTTATTCCTTTCCTCAAAACAGACCTTTATTTTCTCCTTACAAACTAGTTAACACCTGAATTGTAGCAATTTTTCCATATGATGAGACTTCCTAATACTGGTAAATGCTCAGAAGAAAAGAAACCATTATTGCTAAATTCTAATCCATCAGCCAGAAAACCCATTTAATAAACTCTGTGGTAGTTGCCTCATTAATATTGTCCTCCGTGAGCTGTGTGGGTTTTTTGAAGGAATGGAAGATATTTCCTCCTGCAGTCCAGTAATGCAGTAAACCATGACTGTGTATTAATTTAGATATCTATTAGTGTGGCTGACTCTGATGTCTGCAATACAGCAGCAGCAAAGATGTTCACATTTTTAATTTTCAGAGAAGATTAATCTTTTTTTTTCTTTTTTTGTAAGAAGGCTATTGCAGCTACATTTTAAACTTTGACAATTTTTATATTTTACTTATTCCATGCTGGTTTCTTGTATCTAACAGTACCAATTCTTATTCCTGTCAGGTATAAGTTTATCTATTCATGGGGCTGAAAAGCGTGTGCAAATCTGTCAGAGGAGAACTACAGGAAGCTACTCAGTGTCACAGCATCCACCTGTGGATGGGCATCCTTCACTCCCACAAGTTAGAGGGTCAATAAAAATGGAAGCCTCATCCTCTGGATCTATGGTTTCAGCAGTCCCAGGTGGAAAAGCAAAAACCCATCAGCCAGGTAACAGATTTGTCTTGATACCTTTTTCATTTCCATTTCTTGTGTGATGTGCCTTGAAGTTGGGAAGCTGTTATTAATAGCATAAGATCATGCTTGCATGGTGATCAAACTATTGATTGTCAGAACTATTGATTGGTTTTTTTATGTTTGGTTTGTTTTTGTCAGTTATAGATTATAGGGATAGCTGAAAGTGGGAAATGAAAATGTAAGTTTAATCATGAAAAAACATACAACATGTAGTGGTATCCAAAATGTTAATGCAGAAAGCACTTTGGGCTATTGTTTCTTAATACTGTTCCCCTTATATATATTTAATTTTGACAAGCCCCGAATTAATGTCAGTGTTCTGGAGGCTACAGGCATCCCCCCATGGAACTCAATAATTGACACTAACACTGGTTTTGAAAAAAGGCACAATCCAGGGTGTAGATGAAAATCTTGCTGCTATAATACAAATAAAAACTCTGGATCTGAAGGAGATTTTACAACATAAGTTAGCTGGTTAACAAAATGAAACATATTAAAAGAAAGTCAAAATCTCCTGGGAACCATCAAATTCTAATTGACATCATGAGTTCATTCCTTGTTATGGTAATTGCCAGAGCTATTTTAGAAGTATCTTTGCTTATAACAGGGGAGTACATTTGTGCTGGTCATGTTCAGTCTTTCTTCACAGTGAATATAAACTGCAAATTTCTTTTCTGAGTAGAGAAAATTAAGGCTGCCCATGAAGTCATTTTTGTAGCTTCTATATTGAAGGGTCTCAATAACCTTTCAGTATTGCTGCCCAGGAAAGGGCATGATACAGTCTGTATGCAGCTACTTGGATGCCAAGAGCAGAGTCTATTCGTGTGAGACAGAGAGTTCTGCCTGCAAACCATTAGTGTATTCCCCTTATGCTGAAGATCTAGTAAATGGCCTAATTTTTGTAGAAGCTGAAATTTTAGATTATCTGTTATGGGTTTCTATACAGGTCTACTCCCGTGAGTCTTATGCATTCATATAGTCACCATATCTTTGTCAACACAGATTAATTAAGAATTTACAGTGACTCATAACCATATGCTTTGTTTATTTCAGTTCTTCTGTTCACTTGTTTGTCCTGTATTTTCAACTTCTGTTATTTTCTTTGAAGTATAAAAATTACTACTAAAGAAATGTTGTTGTTGCTAAAGATATATAATCATGTCTGCAGCATGGTAAGAGATTGACAAAAATCCCCTGCATCACAGTTTGTCACAAGAAGTATCTTGAACATGCACAATAGCAATGTTCATTTTGAGATGCTTCACATTCTACATCTCTGTGTCGATAAGCATGGCCTGTACTTTACAGGCACGTATGTACAAATAATATACAAACAGCAATATGTGGGCTTCTGCTTGAGAAAAAGGTCCTTTTCTAGGTAGACCCCAGAGGCTTCTCAAAATGGAACTTATCAGTGACCATTCTTTAGATAATGATTCTTTGAGGAATTAGCTTTCAGTGTATGAGATTAGTTTTATCTGTCATATTCTGGTCTTTAGACAGTAGCACTATCTATGATCTACTGAGAACATGCTTGGTTCATGGAGGCATCTAGATTAATGAGCCTCACTGAAGTTAAGAGGAGTTAATAGTACCCAGAGCCTTAAAGGCTGCAGATTTTTACGAGTGTTTTGTACGATAGGAGTCTTCTCTTAACTAACTTGTGGTGCCATTGTTTCATCTGGAATGAAATAACCTTCTTATGATTTGTGTCTGACTTTTTAATTCTCTATAAGAGCACTGAATTTCTGTCTGTGTCCAGGTTAAATTGCAACCATTTGAGCTATATGCAAGTAGAGTCTAATAAAGATCATGTAATGGCCAGTCTTCACGAAGGAAGAACCAGGGAAGGTCTTTTGACCACCAGGGGCTCCCAAAAAGATCATGGTCAGGCAGCAACAGTAATGAATAGCACTCTTAATAGAAAATTCCAATTTATACTGAAAATCATATGTTCTTCACTCTAACATAGTCAAAAATTAACAGCTATAACTTCATAATTAGTTTAATACACTAGTTGTCCAATGGTAGTATTTTATCTAAGATATCATAAAGATTTTTATATTTTAGAAAGAAAACATCCTTATGTATATTAATGATAGGTACCAGATCTGACACCAGTGTTTTCTGAGCTATCCTCCTGCTATTGCATGCAGTAGATTGGAAGGTTTTTGTTCAGTCTAAATAGTTCATATAAATTTGGAGTTTCCTTCTATTTGAGTGCTGTTATCACAATCAAGTAGGTCTCACTGATGGAGATACATTATATTTAGTCTGAAATTTCCTTTGTCCAGTTAATAAATACCCCAAACATGAAGGCAGTCTCGCATAATAAATTATAGAGAAAGGTATTTTGAGGACTTAAAAAGGCATGTCTAATTCTTATCAGAGAGGCTAGAACCATGAAAAGATCCTTGATAAAATGACAGTTAAGTGTATTTTTTCCCTTTGATAGTATACTACTCCTGTTTTCTTCATAGTGCTTTGTTACCCTTCACCGCCTTCCTTCTTTCCAGAATGACACCTTTTATTATCTATCATGAATTCTATTTAATTGACAAATATTTCCTTTGAATGAAGTTCATAGGTAGCTACATGCTAAGGAGGAGGAACAATAGATATTGTTTAGAATTACAGCATTCTTTTCAGCTTGCTTCCCTGCCAGTTTCATTTGTAACTGGTAAGGAGGCTGAGACTCATGACTTCTAATATTGATCTGGGTGTTAGAGTGGCTAGGGAGCAGTGAGTTGTATGTACTGTACTTTATTTAAAAATAAATGAAATTTTAAAAATTGTGTTGTGCAAGCTTGCAAATAAATACTGCTCAGCCATAAGCAGAACCACAACTTCTGAGCTCTGATTTTAAGCAGATCAAAAAGTATCAAGTAACTGAAACAAAACACAGAGGAAAAGGGATAAACAAGTGGAAGAAAATGTTTATTAACAGTGAAGTGAAGACTCTGGACACCTTTGCAGATGCACCCATATGAGGAAACCTTTTCTTAGAAAGGAGGAAAGCAAAAACAAGTATAGGAATCAGATGGTAAGTTTAGATGCAATGACATTAATGCATTCCTTCCAAAACCAGGGAAGACCAGTATGTTTTTGATTTTGAGAAACCTCCAGTTATCATCTTCCAGTTCTGTGAGCAGCTGCGGTGTATTGTGGCTAATGAGGTACAAGGCTATTGAAGTGCAGAGTTCAGAGTGTTTGTGGCAGACCTTTGGCTGGAGTGAATTGGTGCAACTCTCATGAAAATGGTTTAGGATCGATGCGTCTGTGGTGCGCACAGAAGGCTCATTTTGAAAGTAATGGTAATCATCATTTAGATTGTCTGTAAGAGGAGTACAACAAAGTACTGAACAAGTACAGAGGAGGTTAAACTGTCATCCCAGTCTGTTCCCTCAATGTCAGGGTTAGGCAAACCTGTGAACAAAAAAAAAAGCTTGCCTCACTTCTGACAACATTACACTTTTGCTGTGTGATAAGCAGGACTTCAGTTTCTGAGTTTCTGTCTGCTCTCTCCATTGTTAATCTATTCTATAAGAGAAAAATGTTACATTACTTCTTTCTCTCGGTGACAAATTCTTTTATTTTCAGATCCTGCAGAACTTGTCAAACCTAATTTTCCTAGGAGTTACTAAATTTTGCTGGCTGTGGAAAAAATGTCTTATTTAATAAGTCTAAGAAGAAGTAAAGTGAATTCTTTCACTGTGTGAAACTCTGGAATCTTCTTAGTTGTTCCCTACTTGCAATGCTTCCTAACAGTTGTTATCTGTTTTGTAATAACAAGTTCCCCAGCAAGATTTTGTTTTGCTATGCTTCTAGTAAAACGCTATTGTATTCCAAAGTTTACATGGAAGTTTATAAATGTTAATGTAGATAGTAGTTTATATCACTCATACAAATTAGCTCTGTAGGCAATCTACACAACCAGCAGTAAGGGTTGTCTTTGAAAGAATTTATTTCTAAAATTTAGTTACCATGTACACATTCTTCACTCCCGGAAACACATAAAAATATTCTAGAAATCTCTGCTTTCAAGAGTTTACTGTTCAAAACAGATCCCCTTCAAAGCCAAAGAACTGTACACTTTGGAATGAACATTCCTTGCTACCTGAAATGATATAGGTATATCCATGATAGCTGAAAGAACTTTATGTGTCTGAAAGGACTCCTTTCTGGCATTATGGTGAAAGTCTCCTGGGCTCATTGGAATTATGTAAGAAACATTTTTTGCACTTCGGTGTCTTTAGTGACAAGTAGTGTCTGATAGATTACAAATTACAAAAGGAAGGTATGTTTGACTGGCCATGCTTTTCTTTACTTTCGGGTCCTATTTTTTTAATTAGTTATCAAACTGTAACATTTTTATTGATGACTGGAGTTACTGAGCTTGTAAATAAGAAAGAGGAGTTAGTGGTGTTGGCCAACAGAACAACTGACTTGGGAGTAAGCAAAAATGCATGGTTCCTGAAACTGTGGTAACCAGAATTAAAGGAAAAAGAAAATGTATGTTTAATGAGCTTAGTCACAAGTTAATGAACTTTGAATTATCAAGAAAGCTAGAACTGAATCCTTCAACAATGATAATTTACTGTGCAAAACATTTTCTTTTCTCATCGCAAAATGTGCATATGTTTGTCAGCATTCACAATTGGTTGTAAATGGGCTTTAGAAGATATGTGTTAGTTAGATGTGACTTGTTGGTTAAATCCCATTTTCTTTGCTGGCTGGCAGGACATATGGCATGCATCTCTCTCAGATTAAAAGAATAAAATCCTACACCTAATTCTACCAGAAAGCTCTGTCGAGCAAGTATTTCTTGGCAGTAAATTCATGCATGGTGTGGGAATGGCTGATGTAAATTCACCTAGAAATTTGAATTCTCACTGACAGTAATTCTGTCATCTCACTTGTCTAACATTATTAGCGGAACAATCCATTTCAATAAGCTTTCTGCTGCATATATA